AACATGCTGTTTTTTATTATGGATGCATGATGGAACCTTTAGCAGGACACATCATATTGTTGTGGTTTCTCAAGTGGTAGATCTCCATCTTTAAATCTAATATCAATAGCTTTAGGTTTCATGACCGACCAGCTTATTGTATGTTCCCCAGTTTGATATTTTGATGGAGCATTATGGTCATCAAAGAGAATATTCAAAATCAAATAAAGGAGTCTTCATGCTTGTCATTATTATTATTATTATTATTTTGGCATAATTCAGTTTCCAGCTGCAACTTGATGATTGTTGATTCTGTTTCCTGTGCTTGTTTGGAGAGCAAATTGTGTAGTACTTGCAGGTTTTTAATTACAATAAGTTCACGAAACCTTCTAGTGGATAAATTTTTAATAACAGAATTTGTGTGGAAACAGTATACTTTCATCTTAACTGCAAGCAAAGCATTGCCTAAACAGTGTATAAGGTATGGGACTACCACTGCCAAATATGCTTCAAGGAAAAATGTGGGTGTGCGTATCCCTGATGATCCCATTTGTCAAGCAATCCTAGAGAAAATGGACGCACCATTGATCTGCACAAGGTTGGTTTTGTAATGTATTATTTCTCTTTTGGTATATCCGGAAGTTGTTGGGATTGGGTTTAGCTATTGTAGAGGTTTTGGTCTTGAACCCAGTATCTAAGTTTTGGAGTTATGAAGTGCACATTGAGCTCTTGTTCATTTTCTAGTATAAATTTACTTTAACTGAAATTATTGTACTTTTTAACTTATTGATTAATTTTTCATATGTAATATAAGCAAATTTTATTGATAGCTTCTGCTTATGTATCCCATATATGCTGATGATGTCTTCTTTTTTGTTAGTGTCAAGTCGCCAGAGGAAAATGAGTGGATGATAGATCCAGTTGTAATAGCTGATACATATGGACCAAAGGTATGGGTTCGTCTTCATTCCAAGTTTAACAAATTTTGCAGGATTTCTGTTGTTTTTCCATGGCAACTAATGCCTTGGATGTTTGTTAGCCCATCTTTCTCAAGTTTGTGCAGGCATAGGGATGGGTTTTTTTTTTATGACTTTTTCCCCTTAGGTTTTTAGTGTTGTGCAGGAATGAACTAAGTTTCTCTTGTTGGAAATTTGGTTTTTGATTGCTTTTGATGCTTATGTTTCATCACCAATACCTCCTTTCTTTGGAAAAAAAAAAAAGAAAAAGAAAAAAGAAATAAGAGAAGAAAAGAAAAGAAAGGTCCACAACATCACTGAAGGGAATAATCCTTCACTGTTGAGTCTAAGGAAAATAATACAATAGGATATTTAGAATTTGGCCGGTTTCATGCCATGGACGACTCTCACTCTCTTTTCTAACCTTTAGCTGTTGAAAGTATAAAAGGGTATTTTGTTGGAGTCCTATCCGGACCTTCCTGTTCGTTACTTGAGTTTCAGCCTTTCAGGTGTCAATTTCTTTCTTGTCTTGTTCTTGAATGAGTGTTTTTGCTTTTTAACTTTTTTAGGGTCTTGATTTTGTTGTTGATGGTGGCAAAAGAGTGGCTGATCCTTCCACTGTAGTTGACATGACTGGGGCTAATCCAAAAATTGTACGGCAAGGGAAGGTAAGGAGATTACTGCTTATGATATACTGTCTCTCTGCATTTGGTTGCATCACCTAGTACAAAATTAGGTGGAACACGTTTCAATGGCTTAACGAATCTATCTCCTTCATACAACTGTGGATTCTTTTGGCACTGCAAGCCAAGTTGCCTTCTGTTGAAATTTTGCCTATGATTGTAGAATCTTAACATAGCCTCAGGCCATGGTTAATTGGTTGAAATAGAATTACCTCATTACGCAATGATTTTCCTCAAATATATGTCCTTGACAAAGTTGGATCTTCTGTGTTTCTTGACGTCGATTTCATGACTACCTGTTGGTTCAGGGACCTAAATTACCTTGGATGGTTGGAGAGGAAGATGATGGATCAGTTTTACATGTAAACGATCTTATCCCTTCAGTACCTTAAACCCTTTGCTTCTTGAGAGACTTGCAGCACTTTTAGTCCTTTTGCACTCAAGGGTGGGTCATCAGTTCTGCTGGCATTTCCGTTTTAGTTCCGCATGGAAGACTCGTTTACCATACAAAAAAATTAACAGAAACATGGAACTTTTGTAAATGGTAGATCAAGAAATTGTATATCCGAGGAAGTTCCTAGTACAGACCTTTTCTGGGATGTTCTACTGTGGATGGCAGGTCTGTACCTGATTTTCAATCAATTGGTAGTCTTCACCATGCCATGCTGGATACTCAACAATGTTCTATTCATTTACTCTCATTATTGGTAGTTTTTCTTTCATTTCTCTTCCGTTTTGTCAATACTAGTAACTATTTATGAGCTACAAACATGAACCAAGAAGCA